CAAAAAAAAAAAAAGAGAAATTTGGGTCCAAATTTGCCTTCTTTTAAATGTGTCTATTTCATAGGCTTTAGATACCAATCAGCTCCCTCAACACAATCACTTCAACCCAGGAGGCAGAGGTTGCAGTGAGACAAGACTGCAAAAAAAAAAAAAAGAAAAAAAAAAAGAGAAAAAAAAAAAAAAAAAAAAAAAAAAAAAGAGTATTTTGTAAAACCTGTGAAGTAGGCGCCAGGTGTGGTGGCTCTCACCTGTAATCCCAGCACTTTAGGAGAATATCATCAGCACAACAGCCCTGGTGTTGGGACAGGAGTAACTGACACCAACAGGCAAATAAATAATGGCAGTGACCCTGAGATAAGAACTTCTGCTGGCTGCCACTCACCTAAGGATGTGAGTCTTGGGTGGCCAGGCTTCTGGGGACAGAGGGCCCAAGGGACAGTAGAGGGTAACTGTTAAGAGGGTAACTGTTAAGTAGAGAGTAACTGCCGGGTACTGGTTTAGAATCCTGGGTTTAAAGCCTATTGCTAGATCTGCTAGGGATATGATTTAGGGCAAATTGCTTGAGCTCTCTGGGCCTCTCTCTTCTTATGTCTGTAAAATAGGGGTGATATTGTTTTACTTACATTTGTGAAGTTTCAATGAGATTTGTTCTTGTTTTTATGTTAATCCCTAGTACGGGACCTGCTCTGAACACCTCTCCTCCTTGGGCTTGTGTTTCCTGAGGAGGTGGAGTTAGAGAGTATCATAGGTTTCTGTTAGCTCTGAGAGTCCAAGATTTCAAGGCCAACGAGAGTGGAAACCTTGGGGCCAAGGGCTCCTGTCTGCCTTTTCCGTCCCATATCCCCACTGTGAAGAACTGTAGCTGGCCCGTATGTGCTCAATGTTTGTTGAATGAATGCACCTTTGTAAATCACAGGCTGGCAGAAGGGTGGGCTTTTCTCACACTCCAACTCTGAAGATGATGTGACTGTCCTTTGGAGAGAATCTAGTTTCAGACTTTCAGTTCTGTGGCTCTGGGTGAAAACCAATAAAGACCCAAATCCTCTTTCTTTGGGAGCTTGAGGAGAGTTTACTAGTTTATGTCCCCACTGGGTCTGAGAACTTTGACTCTAAACTCCACTCCTGGCCCCTGCCTACTGCTTCCTGGCCTGGGGAATAGAGTCGAGTGGGCCACCCTCAGTCACCTTCCTTTGACTCTCCCCATAAAAACAACAGAACTGAGCTCAGCTGGATAAAGTAATGTGATTTCTTCGTTTGCCCTTGACATGACTGCTGGGTTTGGGGGCACTGAGATGTAGAGGCCCCAGCCTTGTCTCGCCCACTCCCATCCTGGGGAAGAAGGCTCACCTCCCAGATTCCACCCCATCCCACAGGGTCCCTGATAACCTGGTCCCATGGGTGGTCCTGTCCTGGGGCATTGGTGGCATTCTGGGGGCATGTCTCGCTGTGCCATCTCTGCCATCCCCCTAGTAAGAGCTCTGTCTTCCTCTTTCTCTAGGAAAACAAGCCAAACCACCACCATCAGGCAGCGCTCAGGAGGCAGGTAGAGGTGAGTGGAGGGTGTGGAGTTCCCGCCTGTCCTCTGGAGAAGGTTTCTTTGCTTCTCTTTCAGCACATGCTTGGCTTTTCTCCAACAGGCTCAGGCTCACACCATCGGTGCCCTGGAGAGAGCCCTATACTTCAGCAAGAATGCAGCCAGGCAGCTAGAAGTTGGGAATCTGGGCACCCCGTCATCATCATTTCAAGCTGGCACTTGGACAGGCTTTCAGGGGGAGTCCCTTGGGCCTCATCTCACCCTCTCTCCTTCCAGGAGACTGCAGATACCTCTCCGGCTGCCTGCAACATGCCTCCCAACACGTGGAGGACTTGAAGCAGGCTCTATCCGATGTCTCCACACAGGAAAAGGTGGTGGACACGGTGAATCCAACCACCTGCCCCATCCCCTGGCAATCCGGCTTCCCAGATGGAGGAGTGAGTCTAAAGGTCCCTTCTGCAGGATGGAGCGTCCTTACCAGAAGGCAGCATGGGCCATTTCTTTGTGCTTTTGTGTGTGGTTGTTAGAGGCAGGCTGGGGCTGAGTCAGCTGCTGTGGGTGAGTTGGGGGTGCTGTAGGGGGTGAGCACAGGACACAGAGCTCGGAGGCCAAGTGCCCGCCCTGCCCTTACCTGGCTGTGGCCTTGGCCAAATCCTAGGTAGGGGTTAGGGTATTTGTACCATGAAGGTATGGAAGAGTACCTTTAATATGTTACCGTTTGTGTAGAGAGAGGGAACATGTGTTTTTGTGTGTGTGTGTGTGTGTATTTGTGTGTGTGTATTATGGGAATATATATAAAACATGTAAGGATTCATTAAAAACTCAGGAGAGAGGAACAGTGTGAGTGGGAGATATTTCCCTCTTGTACCTTGAGTTTTGGACTATGTGAACCTATCGTCCTTTCAAAAAGTCAACAAAAGATTAATTTCCTCCTTCTTATCTGTGCCCCCACTGCCAGGAAAGAATGGGCTTAGAGAATCAGAGAAACCTGGGGGTTGAAATCCCAGCTGTCTCAGTGATCTTAGGCAAGCACTTAACCTTTAATACCCCATGTTTTTCATCTACACGATAGAGGTAATAATAGTAACTGTCTCTTGGTGGTTGTGAGGATTAAATGGGATTGGTAGCATAGTGCCTGGTAAAGCACTCAATGAAGATTCCAACAGTGGGAGTAATAATAGTCATAACAATAGCAATATTATCTGATCTCTCCCGGCTCATTAGACAGCTATGAATTCAATCTCTTTCCCTGTCCCTTCCACTCTTACTGAGTTCTCTGAAAAACAAATGAGGGCCAGCCTCATTGGCTCACACCTGTAATCCCAGCACTTTGGGAGACTGAGGTGGGCAGATCACCTGAGGTTGGGAGTTCGAGACCAGCCTGAACAACATGGAGAAACCCTGTCTCTCCTAAAAATACAAAATTAGCCAGGCGTGATGGTGCATGGCAGCAGTCCCAGCTACTCAGGAGGCTGAGGCAGGAGAATCACTTGAACCTGGGAGGTGGAGGTTGTGGTGAACCCAGATCACGCCATTGCCCTCCATCCTGGGCAACAAGAGCGAAACTCCCTCTCAAAAAAGAAAAGAAAAACAAAGGAGACCATGGGCATGGCTTGGGAACATGCCAGGTGTGACTGAGAGTGAGGAGGTGTTGCTGTGGAGTAGTCACTGCAGCCGTTGTTCCTGTCGGCTGGCTGCTGCTCTGTCTGCTGCATCCTGACTTAACCTTTCTGTATTTGCAGTGCAACGAGGAGTTAACAAAGGAGATGGACGGCCTGAGTCTGTGCAGGAACACGTAGGACGGGGGAAGGTGGGATGGGAGGTCTGGGGGCCCTTAGCGTGGGTGGAGTGCTGGGAGGTGGGGGGTACAGGTGAGCATGGTGAGGGGGTCATAGAGGTTTGCATGTGTGCCCAGCAAAGCTCTAGTGCCGGCTGTGCCACTGACTCATGGGGTAGCCTCAGGCAACTCATGTCTTCTCTCTGGCCTGCCACCTGTGACTTTTAATTCCTGGGGTCCCTTTCAATGCCACGGTTCTGTGGTGGTTGTGGGGTGAGGGTAGAGGATTGATCAGCAAAGCGGTCCTTTCTGTTCTTCGTTCATGCCTTTCTCTACTGCCTCTGGCCATAGTATAATCAATGAGGAGCTGCAGAGGAAGAACACCAAGCTGGAAGAACAACTTAGACTCCTACAGTCCGAAAAGTCCAGCATCCAGCTCAATGTGCAGGAGCTACAAAGAAAGCTGGCTAGGGCCAAGCTCCTGCTGCCACAGGTGAGAGGCTGCAGCCCCGGGGGTTGCGGGAGCCCCATCCATCTGGGGCCATGGTCGAGGGATCATGCCGGGTATGGGGAAGCTCCAGCCCAGAGCTGGAAAATCTGGGTCCTGGTGCTGGTCCCGCCATGGAATCCTCTAGAGTGTGCTAAAAATCTACAAATTATAGCCCTGCCTGGGGAATCAGAATCTCAGGGTTAGGACTTAGAAAAAAAAGTTTTTTAAGCATCATGGATGAAAACCATTATTTTCTAGATGACATTTCTATGGCTAGCTCATGAGTCGATTTCCTTCTGAGGTTTAAACCAACACTTTCACTATTTATTTCAGCAGCAGCTACAGGAGGAGGCCACGCACCTGAGGCAGGAGGTTGAGAGACTGGCAGGAGAACTCCAAACCCAGCTGGATAAAAATAAATGCTGGAGGCACCTGTGCCAGGAGCAGGAGCACAAGATGCTGGAGCAGCAGGAGAAGATCCGGGAGCAGGAGGTAAGGCTACGGGAGCTGAAGGAGACGCTGTGGGAACTGTGGTGGAAGGCCGAGCTCTAGGGCAGCAGGCACGGGTGTGTGCAAACCCTGGAGACCATGCAGGTCGACCTCATCACAACTTGGCAGGTGGTGGCTGGCTCCCTCTGCTTTTCCACCAGTCTGTGGCCTACAGTTTAAATGGTGGGAAGAAGGGTGTGAGATTTGAAGCTGGGGAGGGACGGTGCTCTAGGCAAAGGAGAGAGTCACTTAGTCCTGGAGCAAGGGGCTAGGGGCTTGTGCAGGTGACAGAGCCCCACAGTGTTCTGGCTACGTTATGGGCCCAGAATCTGGAAGCTAGCCACTACCTACCCTGATGCTTATCCTGCTGGTGGAGCTGAAGAGGCTCAGAGTCTACATCAGCAGAAGCCAGACCAGTTCCTGGGTCTCCTGCAGCAGTACGTGGCCACCTCTCAGCAGCTGACCTTTGACAAGGAGGTGCTGCGCAGCAGTTACTGCTGCAGGTTCAGCTTGTGGACCAGCTGCAGCAGCAGGAAGCTCAGGGCAAAGCTCTGGCCAAGGTGGCACCAACAGTTGCAGGAGACCTAAATGAGGGAGTTGCTGAAGGCAGGGCCCTGAGGGGGACAGCCTAGCAACCTCCTGCCTTCTCACTCTCTTTCCTGGCCGCTTAGGAGCACGCGGAAGCTGTCATCCAGAACCAGCACCTACAGGCGCAGTTCAGCCTCATGGCTCTCCCTCGGGAAGGTAGGGGAAGAGTGCTCAGAGGAAGAGGAGAGAGCCCCCAGGAAGAACGGGGGACCGTTGGCAGCGTAGGATTGAGGAGTTGGAAGAGACCTTTAGACCAGCTGGTCATTGTGCCGACTGGGTGTCTGCACTAAGTTCAGCATCAATATAGTGACTCCTGGGAGTGGGGGAGCACCAGGGTTGCCTACGGATGGGTGAACTGGCTCAGGTCAGAACTCCCCGTGCTGACTGGTGGTAGTGGGATTCCAGCTGGGTAACATAGTGGGACCTTGGTTCTTCAAAAAAATACAAAAACAGCTGCTCTTTTCCCTCTGGGGAAGGGCCAGCCCAGGGTTACAGAGTGAGGGTGGGGGCAGAGGTGGGCCCACTGTTACCTTCCTTGTTGGGTTGCTGAGGGCCCCTCTGACTACCCCGCATAGGAGATGGACAGGACAGGGAGGAGGAGGAGGTGCTTCGGCCCATGAGCAGCATCCCGGAAGACCTGGAGAGCCGAGAGGCCGTGGTGAGTCTGACTCCCCCTTCCCATATTTACTGCATCCCACAGTGGTCCCTCCCAGACACCCTTATGCTCTTGGTTTCCTGCCTTCTGATTTCTGCAGGTGGGGTGGGCACCAGCGTGGCAGCTGAGCACCCTTCCCTCCAGGTGGAGCTGGTGTTGCATCTTGCCAGCGACCAAGACCAGGGACATGAGGGATTGCTGGCAGCTGCCCAGAACCTAATGATGAGCCCATGCCATGGGCCCCAGAGCCCCAGGAACTTGGGGCTGCTGGCAGGCAGAGTGGTGAGTAGAGCCCTCAGGCAGGCTGGGCAGGCAAGAGTAGGACAGGGCTGGCAAGGGACTCAGAGCCCTGCCTCCCTCCAAAGATTTCAAAAACACTGTGAAAGGAGAGGCCAGGGAGGGTTCTGCCCGAGACAACCCACCTGAACATGCTGTGCCAAGTACGATCCAGAACGCTCAGGAGCAAGCAGGCTTAGGCAGCAACCCCTGCCTGCCATTCTTCTATGGAGCCGGGAAGATCCAGATAATTAACATCTGAAAGTGGGCACTGTCACCAAGGCCCAGAGATTTATAAGCCACCATGGGACTGTAAATATGCTCCAAGCACCAACCTGAAAAGAAAAAAAAAATATTTAAGTCGTTATAAAATACTGGCCGGGTGTGGTGGCTCATGCCTGTAATCCCAGCACTTTGGGAGGCTGAGGTAGGGGGATCCCTGAGGCAGGAGAATTGCTTGAACCCTGAAGGCTGAGATTGAAATGAGCTGGGATCGCGCCACTGCACTTCAGCCTAGGCGACAGACATTGTCTCAAAAAAAAAAAAAAGGAAAAATACTGTTAAAATTTACTATGATAATAAAAGTTATTTTAAAGTTTCTACCTGAGGACTCTCATATCTATGTATGTTTCTATTGTCTTTTTTATCTCTCGGTCTTTCTCCTTTAGTCTGGTCTGACGGCATGCCTAGTAAACTTGTATCTGCCTCCAGAGAGTATTTACTTTGACTTTATGGCACGCAGTCGGAGTAAGGGCAGATCAACGTCATCTAGTTTGGGACTAAGCTGGTTCAAAGCAGGTTTTAGGTTTTGTGACAGCTGGTCTCTTTATTTGGACTCCTAGGGGTGGCCCTTCCAGGGTCCCCACCTAGGTCTCATCTCTTTACTGGGGCCCAAATTCTCATGATGTCATTTCAGGCCTGTGAGAGTGCCAGATGTTCAGCTTGGCTTTCCAGCCTCAACTATCCCTTCATAGTCAGTTTCTTAGCCCCTTAACCCTATGCTGTTTACCAATCACCAAATGTGGGGAAACCCCCTACAGACTGTCGGGGTCACCTTCTAGGCCTGGCCACTCAAGTCCTGGCCGAGGTCTCCAATTACCTTCCAACAATTGTTTTTGGGTGCAGGGGAGGCACAGTTTTGTCCAGTTTTTCTAATTGTTCTTGTGGGGAGGCTAATCTATAACCAGCTACTCTGCCTTTAATGAAAGTTGAAAACCTTCATGTGGCTTTTGTTTTTGAGATGGAGCCTCGGCCCAGGCTCAAGTGCAGTGTTGTGATCTCAGCTCACCATAACCTCTGCCTCCTGGAGTTCAAGCAGTTCTGCCTCAGCCTCCCAAGTAGCTGGGATTACAGGCATGTGCCACCATGCCTGGCTAATGTTGCATTTTCAGTAGAGACGGGATTTCACCATGTTGGCCAGGCTGGTCTCGAGCTTCTCAGGTGATCTACCTGCCTCAGCCTCCTAAAGGGCTGGGATTCCAGGTGTGCACCACTGCATGCGGCCCATCTGTCTTTTAAAAAATGTTTTTAAGATAAAATTTATATTCAGTGAAATGCCTCGATCTGAAGTGTACATTTTGATCAGTTTTGACAAATGCATTAATCATATAGCCCACCTCCTTTCAAGATATAGAATATTTCTATCATCCAGAAAGTTCTCCTGGGCTTCAATCCTGTCCTGCACTCCCCCAGCAGCTGCTGAACGTGCTGAGGTCATTGATACAGGACTCTGGCCTCCCCAAAAGGCTGCTTTCACAAGGCTGCTTCCTTCCCCTGCACTAAATTCCATTTCTGCCTGCTGTCTCAAAATGTCCATCTCTAAGCTGGTTGTACCTATAATCCTCCTTCAACAATTCAGTATATAACCCCTGAAAAGCAAACACTCCTTCCTGGCCCAGCAGCCCGCAGCCTAATACTCACTGTATACCCAAGCTTTCAGAAATGCAACTTGACTTGCAGGGGTGGGGCCTGGCGGCTGCATCCCCTCCTCCTCCTCCTGATGGCTTCTACCAGCCTACAGGGCCCACAGACCAGATCTGGCCAGGCAGCCTGAGCCTGGAAGTGCAGCGGAGCCTCCTGCTCCTTCACCCTCACTAGGGTGGCAGCAGCATGGCAGCAGCTGGGCTCCCTCCTTAAACCAGAAGCCCTTGGCTAGACACTGACACTCAGACCCGGGCCTGGGTGAGCCTGGCTGAAGGCCCCCTTCCTTCCTGTCTGACTGTGGAGGGAGGGAGCTGAGTGTACACAGCTCTACTGCCCACCCCAAACTTCAGCTGTGCTTCCTTCTGGGAGAGGGAGCTGCTCATTAATTTGGCCAAAGCCTTCTTGAGGGCTGTAGTTTGACAGGCTGGGTGTGTATGGGCCCACTGTGCTACAGAGAGGCTGGTGTGTCAGAAGGCAGCCACCTGGCCAGAGGAGGGTCAGCCTCCTTGGTGACCTCCTTCTCCCTTCTGGACACAGATCCTGCACTCTCCCCATATCAATGCTCCCCTCAGAACTGCTTCCAGGGGTGGGGTTCTAATCCTGTGGGTGGGGACATTGCGTTAGTTGACAACGGGCCATGGTTCCCTCTGACATCTCCAACTCAGAGTCAGTAGAGAGAAGAGAAATTCCCTACACCTCCTCCCTCAGCACCCCCACCTCTGCACATATCCACATATGGAGACCCTGACATTTGTCCCTGGGAGTGCCGCCATCTGCACGTCCTTTTCATGCCTGCAGCAGCCACGCCCACTGTCCAGACCCTCAGCTACCTGTCTCAGTAGGCGCCGCATTGCCTCTGGTCCTGCCCCTACACCTGGGCGCCTGTATCCATCGGTTCCCCCAGTCTTTTTCCCCGACAAGTTGGGAGCCTGTAAGGTCACCTGTTGAGCAAGCTGGAGGACAGCATAAGGTGGGGCTGTGAGGATGATGAGTAGAAGCTGATGGTCGTTCTGGAGACTCAGCTGAGCAGAGTCTGTGCAGGCCAATTGGCTGCCCACCCAGTGGCCATCCCGTTCCCACCCTCATTTCTTCTTTGTTAACAAAACCATGACTTCATTAAATATTGGACACCTACAAGCTTCATGGACTGTCCTGCCATCTCCTTGCCATGTATCGGTAAGTCTAAGTCAACTCTGGTCATTTCATTCCTCTGGACAATGATTGCTTAGGGCTTGGGTATGAGCTGCCCCTTCACCTGAGTCAGCCACAGCTACTCTCTGCACCTACCACGCTGATGTGCTGGGCCAGGGAGAGCTCCATCTCGATGGAGACGAGCTGTGAGGAGCTGGTGGCTGGGAAGGTCAGGTGGTGGTAACAGGTTTTGTTCAGAAGGCTGTCCATCAGCTTCTTGGCTTTGGTCACGTGTTGGTCCCCTGGAAAAACAGACCTGTTTCTATTTTTCCAGGGGACTGCCTGTAAGATTACCTGTAGGCTCTTCATAGCTGTCACCTGCAATTGTCCCCACTGCAGCTGACAGCTACGAAGGGAGAGCCCAGAGGGCCAGGTAGCACAGGTGCCCTGAGGGCTGGCTGGAGCAGTGAAGGTACTGGCAGGCCTGGCTCTCCCTGGAGACTTCAAATGACATTTAAGAAACAGCTCACCTCTAACCTCCCATGCCATAGCTCTTTCTCCTTCTCTTCCCTTGAGCAATGAATGGCATGCCACGCTCTACACATCTGGTACAAAACTGAGTGTCTCGTCCTGACCCCTTCCTTGGTTCATTTGAGTCCTCTCTGTCCTCCCATCTCCACCGCTACAGCCATGTCCCTACCTCCCCAGCCCTGCCCACCTTCTGGTCTCTCAATCCATACTCTGCCCCTGCCATCCATGTACCATACAGTGGCAGGCTGGTCTTTCAGCAAACTGGTTTAGGGCCCTTCACTACCCACAGCTCTGGGAGCTGGAGGTGGAGTTAAGCCTCACATGTGTTGGCTTGGCATTCAGAGCTCTTTCCTCCTGGGCACTGGCTCATCCAGAGCGCTCACAGTGCAGGGTAGGCAGGGCAGGAGCCCCCATTCTCAAATGTGGGTTTGGTGCAGAACTGGGTATGCGATGGTGATTTCACTAAGAAGAAATAGGGCTGAGATGGGGGGATTTTCTGGGTTCAGAGTTAGACCATCACAGTGCAACTTCCTTTAAGACACCAAATGAAGGGGTCCCAACTGGCAGCTGGCTCCTGGTCTGGAGCTTCAGGGAGAGGTCACAGCTCAGAGCCACATTCAAGAACCAGCTTAAATGCAGCCTCCTGCAGGGAACCCCCAGAGCTTCCACAGCCTCAGATCTGCCCCTCTGCATACTCCAGATCTTTTGCCAAGTGGCGTTTGGGTTTTCATGTCATCTCCCTCCCGTGTCTGAGAGTAAAGGTGAGGTGCAGGGGCTTGAGCTTGTGTACTCTGGTGCCTTCGGGGGAATGTGTCAGGTAGAGAGGAGGCGGCTTGGAAAGAGTGAGACTCAGAGGAGAGTCAAGGACATGTGAGCAGAGAGCCTGGGAGCAGAAAAAGAGATGAGAGTCAGCAGAGGCACGTGCCGGGGCAGGGGAGCAGGTGGGAGGATTGGGGAATGAAGGGGCTGGAGAGTGGGGCTACTGTCGCGGGGCTGCCTGGCTGTCCAGGCTCAGGAGTCGGTTACATCCTCCCGCAAGTGCCAGCTCACCCGGTTGCCCCAAAGCCTTCTTTCTGTGGCTGCGACCAGAGGGCCCAGAGCGGAGATGACTCAACTGAGCAGGACTGAGGCGGACTCGGGTGGGTACTGGGCTGGACTCCTGGCTGCGGGGAGCACCGCCACCCAGCCTACTGCATCCACTTTCCAGCTGGCTGCCCAGATGCAATATTG